GAAGGCCATGCCGCAGGAGGGCCTGTGGCTGCCAGAACTCTGCCGGGGCAGGAGGCCGAACAAGAGGCCCATCAGTGGCTGCTCTGCCCATGGAGTAGCCATTCTGTTGTTTCTTTCTCTTCTTTTTTTTTTTTTTTTTTTTTTTTGAGATGGAGAGTCTTGCTCTATTGCCCAGGCTAGAGTGCAGTGGCATGATCTTGGCTCACTGCAACCTCCACCTCCTGGGTTCAAGCAGTTCTCCTGCCTCAGCTTCCTGAGTAGCTGAGATTACATGTGTGGACCACCATACCCAGCTAATTTTTCTGTTTTTAGTAGAGACAGGGTTTCACCATGTTGGCCGGGATGCTCTCAAACTGTTGAACCTCAAGTGATCCACTTGTCTCGGCCTCCCAAAGTGCTGCGATTACAGGTGTGAGCCACCGTGCCCGGCCCATTCTTCTGTTTCTTTTCTTCTCTAATGAACTTACTTTCAAAAACAAAAATAGGCCAGGAGCGATGGCTCATGCCTGTAATCCCAGCACTTTCAGAGGCTGAGGCGGGAGGATCATGAGGTCAAGAGATCCAGACCAGCCTGGCCAACATGGTGAAAACCCATTTCTACTAAAACTACAAAAATTAGCTGGGCATGGTTGTGTGCACCTGTAATCCCAGCAACTCAGGAGGCTGAGGCAGGAGAATCACTTGAACCCGGAAGGGGTAGGTTGCAGTGAGCTGAGATGACACCACTGCACTCCAGCCTGGTGACTGACAGACTCAAGCTCAAAAAAAGAAAACCAAAACGAAAAACAAAAAAACCCACAAAAATTTTAAAAAGAGGCCCATCAGTGCCCTGGGGGAATGGGCCATCCTGAGTCTGGGGGTCGGTCCCTGGGTGCTGGTCCTTCATCTCGGGGAGGAACTTGTGGAGTGGCCGGGGCTGGGGTTCTCCTGTCCGAGTCCTTGCATGTGGTTACACAACCCCTCCCCCCCCCACCCAGGGCCTGAAGGCTGCAGATTCAAACTCAGTTCCTGGACGGATCTCTGCTCTCTGCTCTCCAGCAGCTCTGGCTGAGCCTGTCAGTCTTATGGTGGTTGCTAGGAAATGGGACATGCATTCCAGCCGGTTCACGGCATCCGAACTATCATCCTTTCGCAGCAATCTGTCCATGCCCAAGTCCCTCCTGCATTTGGCTTCTGCCTGTCAACTCCCCTGCCTTGAAGGCCATGGGGGCTACGGCAGCTGGCCATTTTGTATGTGATGACCTTGGGATGCTGGCTCTGACCTCACCTGCCTGAGAGGTGCCTTTCCTTCCAGCCACCCTCTCTCCTGCATTCCTCCGATCTTGAGCTAAGTCCTAAGCCCAGACATTTCCGCAGAGTCAGCAGGTTTCCTGTTTTTCGCAAGGATCTGCCTCAGCCCCTGAGGAGACAGACCATTTGCTTTGTACTCTCATCCTCCACTTCCTAGCTGTGTGGCCTTGGGCAGGCTGCTGGCCCTCTCTGAGCCTCATTTCCACATTTGTAAAATGAGGACAACGTTAGCACCTGCCTCTCGGGACTGCTCTGACAACCCAATGAGCTCACACGTGTGAACTCACCCTGAGACTGCCAGCACTCATGGGCGTGTCTGCCCTTATCCTTATTCTGTGGTCCCTGCAGCACCGGCTCTGGGGTAGGACCATGCCTTTCCCTGGCCTGGCCCCTCAGCCACCCCCAGCTGCAGGACCCCGGGTGAGTGGCCCCCTCTCTGGGCTCCAGATATCTGTCTCTTAACAGCGTGGGACCAGAGAGGGCAGCTCCAGGAGTCTCTCTCTTCTTGTCCGAGTCTGAGTGGAACCAGATGTCCTCTGCTGACTCGTGGGAATGTTGGAACACCCAGCACAGGCTCTCCCAGGACCATCCCCTGGGCATCAGCAGCCAGTATCCTCCCAATGCCAGGCCCTCGGACCCCACGTTCCCAATGCTGGGATGTATCCCAACATATGAGGCAGTGCTTCTTAGTATTTTCTGGATCATACACTTCTTTGAGAATTAGAAAAAACAATCACACTCTTTCCAGAGGGCACCCTGAGCAGAGTGAAGGGCCCCTGTCTGTGATGTGGAGATGAAGGGCAGCTGTGAGCGTCAGAAATGGACCAAGCCCAAATCCGGGCTGCGCTGGGATTCACCAGGCCTGCGGGCATCTCAGGTTCTTCATCTGTGAAGCGGGTGTGTTCATAGCACCCACCTCAAGGATTTGACGAGATCATTCACACACATCACTTAGGAGATGCTTGGCACCCAATGAATGTCGGCAAGCCCACACTCACCTGCTCTGCAACCTTCCCAAAGACCACCCCCTCCCAGCCTTCAGCTCCCCTCCCTGCCTCTGTCCTCCCCCTCCCTGCCTCTGTCCTCCCCCTCCTAGCCTCTGTCCTCCCCATCCCTGCCTCTGTCCTCCCTCACCCTGCCTCTGTCCTCCCTCACCCTGCCTCTGTCCTCCGCCTCCCTGCCTCTGTCCTCCCCCTCCTGGCCTCTTTCCTCCCCCTCCTGGCCTCTTTCCTCCCCCTCCTGGCCTCTTTCCTCCCCCTCCCTGCCTCTGTCCTCCCTCACCCTGCCTCTTTCCTCCCCCTCCCTGCCTCTGTCCTCCCTCACCCTGCCTCTGTCCTCCCCCTCCCTGCCTCTGTCCTCCCTCTCCTAGCCTCTGTCCTCCCCATCCCTGCCTCTGTCCTCCCTCACCCTGCCTCTGTCCTCCCTCACCCTGCCTCTGTCCTCCGCCTCCCTGCCTCTGTCCTCCCCCTCCTGGCCTCTTTCCTCCCCCTCCTGGCCTCTTTCCTCCCCCTCCCTGCCTCTGTCCTCCCTCACCCTGCCTCTGTCCTCCCCCTCCCTGCCTCTGTCCTCCCTCACCCTGCCTATCATCCCCCTCCCTGCCTCTGTCCTCCCCCTCCTGGCCTCTTTCCTCCCCCTCCCTGCCTCTGTCCTCCCCCACCCTGCCTCTGTCCTCCCCCTCCCTGCCCCTGTCCTCCCCCACCCTGCCTCTGTCCTCCTCCACCCTGCCTCTGTCCCCTTCCTCCCTGCCCTGTTGCCCTGCCTTCCAAATGCCATCTCTCATAACCATCCTCCTCCCCATTTTCACTACCAAGGGAGCAACGGTGTTTGCACCTTGGTCTTCTAATCCAACAAGCTTGCCAAATTCTTTCTTAGTTCTTTTTTTTCTTTTCTAATGAGATAATCATATTGTCTACAAAACAACTAACTTTATCTCATTTTTGATATTTAAATATTGTGACCAGTCCATGTATATCTGAAAATAATTTTTTTGAACTGTTCAAATCTATATATCTATAGATTTATCTTGTTAGATGGTGGATATAGATTCTGCTTAATTTTAGATATTGGTAGAATAAGGTTAAGTAGATGTGTGAAAATATTAAGGGAGGCAGGGCACAAGTGGCTCACACCTGTAATCCCAGTACTTTGGGAGGCTGAGGTGGTGGATCACTTGGAGTCAGGAGTTCGAGACCAGCCTGGCTAACATGGTGAACCCCCATCTCTACTAAAAATACAAAAAATTAGCCGGGCATGGTGGGGCTCAGTTCCAGGTACTCAGGGGGCTGAGGTAGGAGAATTGCTCAAAGCTGGAGGCAGAGATTGCAGTGAGCCGAGATCACAACACTGTACTCCAGCCTGGGAGACAAGAGCAAACCTCCATCTAAAAAGAAAAAGAAAAAGAGAAAGAGAGAGAAGAAAGAGAAAAAAAGGAAGGAAGGAAAAAAGAAAGAAAGAAAAGGGGGGAAGGAAGGAAGGAAGAAAGGAAGGAAGGAAGGAAGGAAGGAAGGGAGGGAGGGAGGGAGGGAGGGAGGGAAATGTTAAGGGAAATCTCCATAAAAATAGAAATAGAATGTATAACTTGTAAACTATTAGAGAGAAAACTGAAATTGAAAAAATGAAATCAACCCAACAAATATCAGGAAAAAAAAGAAACATAGGAAGTAGGAAACAAAAACTTACATAAAAGGAGTAAGTTCAAACATTTCAACAATCACATGTAATAAATGTGAATGGGTTAAATTCACCTATTCAGGAGTCTCCCTAGACAAAAAACCACTAGGACCTATATAGATTTAAACAGTTCAGAAAAGAAATAGTGGCCGGGCACAGTGGTTCACACCTGTAATCCCAGCACTTTGGGAGTCTGAGGCAGGCAGATCACGAGGTCAAGAGATTGAGACCAACCTGGCCAACATGGAGAAACCCCATCTCGACTAAAAATACAAAAATTAGCTGGGCATGGTGGTGAGCACCTGTAATTCCAGCTACTTGGGAGGCTGAGGCAGGAGAATTGCTTGAGCCGGGGCAGAGGTTGCAGTGATCAAATTCAAGGCACTGCACTCTAGCCTGGGCAACAGAGTGAGGCTCCATCTCAAAAAAGAAAAAAAAAAAAAAAAGAAATTGTATTACATCTGCCAATTTCTGAGTAAAGCATATTAAGATCTCTCACTCCAATTATAAAATTGTCCATTTCTCTTTATAGTTCTATGAGTTTTTGTGTTAAATATTTTGAAACTATGATAAGGGCATAAGATTTCATAATTTTTATTTTGCTGGTATATTGTCTCTCAGCAAAGTGAATTCAAATTTCCTTTTTAAATAAAGTTTTTGCTTTGAGCTCTATTTTGTCTCATATTGATGTATGTTCACCAAAAGCTTTCTGTTAGAATTTTAAAAATTACATCTTTTTCGAGCGAGAGCGAGCCACGAAATCTGACCGAGCAGATCGCAGGCCGCCGCCTCCTCCTCTCTGCTCTTCGCTACCCAGGTGACCCGAGGAGGGAGTCAGCCTCGGAGCGGCTGAGGACCCCGGTGCAGAGGAACCCGGCTCGCAGAATTCCAGAGTCGACGCCCCCTTTTACCACCTAGTCCTCTTTTATTCTGCTGTACCCAGTTTTTGGATTTTTGCCTTCCCCTTCTTCTCTTTGCTAAACGACCCCTCCAAGATTATTTTGTAAAAACCCTCTCCTTTGCTTGCCTTTCCTTCCCAGCCTTCCCATCCCCCGACCGAAAGCAAATCATTCGACAACTCCGGACCCTCCGATGGCAGGAGCCCCCTGACATCCCAGGCCGACCGCCCTCCCTCTCTGCGCGTGGGTTCTGGGCCCAGCTGAGGCCATGGAGGTGACGTCGGACCGCGGCGCTTGGTGAGCCACCGCCACCCCGCTGTGCTCCACGGGCTGCACCCGGACACGCACCACCCGGGCCTCGGCCACTGCTGCATGGACCTGGTGCAGTACCAGCTGCCAGAGGAGGTGGATGTGCTTGTTAACATCGATGGCCATGGCAACCATGTCCCTCCCTACTAGGGAAATTCGGTCAGGGCCACGGTGCACAGGTACCCTCCGACTCACCACGGGAGCAAGGTGTGCCGCCCGCCTCTGCTTCACGGGTCTCTGCCCTGGCTGGATGGCAGGAAAGCCCTGGGCAGCCACCGCACCGCCTCCCGCTGGAACCTCAGCCCCTTCTCCAAGACGTCCATTCACCACGGCTCCCCGGGGCCCCCTCCGTCTACAGCCCAGCCTCATCCTCCTCCCGGTTGGGGGGCCACGCCAGCCTGCACCTCTTCACCTTCCCGCCCACCCCACCGAAGGACGTCTCCCCAGACCCGTCGCTGTCCACCCCGGGCTCAGCCAGCTCGGCCTGGCAGGATGAGAAAGTGCCTCAAGCACCTGGTGCCACTGCCTGACAGCATGAAGCTGGAGTCCTCGCATTCCCGTGGCAGCATGACTGCCCTAGGGGGCGCCTCTTCATCAGCCCCCCACCCCATCACCACCTACCCGCCCTACGTGCCTGAGTACAGCTCCGGACTCTTCCCCCCAAGCAGCCAGCCTGCTGGGCGGCTCCCACATGGGCTTGGGATGCAAGTCCAGGCCCAAGGCCTGGTCCAGCGCAGAAGGCAGGGGGTGTGTGAACTGCGGGGCAACCTCCACCCCACTGTGGCGGCGAGACGGCCCAGGGCACTACCTGTGCAACGCCTGCGGGCTCCACCACAAAATGAACGGACAAAACCCGCCCCTCATCAAGCCCAAGCGAAGGCTGTCAGCAGCTAGGAGGGCAGGAACATCCTGTGCGAACTGTCAGACCACCACAACCACTCTCTGGAGGAAGAACGCCAACGGGGACCCCGTCTGCAATGCCTGTGGGCTCTACTACAAGCTATACAATATTAACAGACCCCTGACTATGAAGAAGGAAGGCAGCAGACCAGAAACCGAAAAACGTCCAGCAAATCCAAAAAGTGCAAAAAAGTGCATGACTCGCTGGAGGACTTCCCCAAGAACAGCTCGTTTAACCCGGCCACCCTCTCCAGACACATGTCCTCCCTGAACCACATATCGTCCTTCAGCCACTCCAGCCACATGCCGGCCACGCCCACGCCAAGGCACCCGCCCTCCCGCCTGTCCTTCGGACCTCACCGTCCCTCCAGTATGATTACTGCCATGAGTTAGAGCCCTGCTCGAGGCTCCCAGGGCCCCAGAGAGAGCCCTGCAGCCCACCTCGACTTGCATTGGCGCAGGAGCAGTATCATGAAGCCTAACGCGATGGATATATGGTTTTGAAGGCAGAAAGTGAATTTATGTTGCCACTTTGCAGAGGAGCTCACTGTGGTGTCTGTGTTCCAACCACTGAATCTGGACCCCATCTGTGAATAAGCCATTCTGACTCATATCCCCTATTTAACAGGGTCTCTAGTGCTGTGAAAAAAAAATGCTGAACATTACATATAACTTATATTGTAAGAAATACTGTACATTTGAGGAAGACTTTATTGCATCTGGGTAGCTGTAAGGCATGAAGGATGCCAAGAAGTTTAAGGAATATGGGGGAAACAGAGTGTGGAAATTAAGAAGAAACTAGGTCTGATATTCAAATGGACAAACTGCCAGTTTTCTTTCCTGTCACTGGCCACAGTTGTTTGCTGCATTAAAAGAATAAAAAGAAAAAGAAAAAAGTGGTAGGCGAATCATTCGTTCAAAGCTGTTGGCCTCTGCAAAGGAAATACAAGTTGTGGGCAATCAGTGTTACCATTCACCAATTGCCATTGAAGGTTTCAGAGAGCCCTTTTCCAGGCCTACGTGCTTTGTGAACAAGTCCCTGTAATTGTCGTTTGTATGTGTAATTCAAAGCACCAAAATAAGAAAAGATGTAGATTTATTTCATCATATTATACAGACTGAATTGTTGTACAAATTTATTTACTGCTAGTCTTAAGAACTGCTTTCTTTCATTTGTTTGTTTCAATTCTTTCCTTCTCTCTCCATTTTTGGTTGAATAAACTAGATGACATTAAAAAAAAATTATATCTTTTTCTACTCTCCTGTTTAGAACCTTCCTGGGTCATTAGGATTTATATGTGTTTTCTGAAGGCAGGATTTCTTTTCTTTTTGGTCTAGGGAGACTCCTGAATAGGCGAATTTAACCCATTCACATTTATTGTATGTGAGTATTGAAATGTTTGAACTTATTCCTTTTATATAAGTTTTTATTTTCTATTTCCTATGTTTTGTTTTTTGTATCTTTCCTGATATTTGTTAGATTGACTTCATTTTTTCTCATTTCAGTTTTTCCCTCTACTAGTTTATAAGTTACACATTCTCCTTCTATTTCTCTGGAGATTTCCTTTACATTTTCACATACTATTTAACTTTGTTCTATAAATAGCTATAATTAATCATAATCTATATCTACCCTTTATCAAGACAAGTGCTTTAGCACACATTTACTCTCTACTGCTCCATAAACACCTCAATCCTTTAACTAATATCTAATATTTTAGTTGCAGATTGTTATTAATTTTCAAGCAATCAACACTTATTAAAAATTTAATAAGTTTTATTGGTTTATTTGTTCCTCACTGTCTCTTATATTCCACTTCTTTTTTGTGACAGGGTCTTCCTCTGTCACCTAGGCTGGAGTACAGTGGTGCAATCACAGCTCACTGGAACTTCAAACTCCTAGGCTCAAGTGATCCTCCCACCTAAACCTCCCAAGTTGCTGGGACTACAGGCAAGCACCACCATGCCCAGTTAATTTTTCTACCTTTTGTAGACATGGGGTTTCACTAGGATTCCCAGGCTAGTTTCAAACTCCTGGCCTCAAGCAATCCTCCTGCCTTGGCCTCCCAAAGTGCTGGGATTACAGATGTGGGCTACCACACTCAGCCTCCATTTCTTGGATTACTTTTTCTTCTTGCCCTATTAGGGCACATAATTTAATACTTTTTTCAAAAAGGAATTTATCAATGCTAAACATCTTAGCCATTTCATATCTCAGCATGAGTTTTTATCCTTGTATTTGGCTGCATTTAGAATTCTGTTAGAAATTACTTTTTTTCAGGTTTTAAAGATAATTACTTGGTTGTTTTATTTTCTGGCTTCCTGTATTCCATTCTTTTGCAAGTTGTCTGTTTTCAGCCTGAAATATTTAGAATCTTTTTTATCCCCAGCGTTCTGAAATTCCAACATGCCTGTCCAGTAGAGGCTCTCTCTTCATTCATCCTGACAGGCACTGGCAGAGCTCTGGGATGTTGCCAATCTCAGCTCTGGAAAATTTATTTCCCTGCATTCTTTTGGTTGTGTCTTTGGGGACCAGAAAATGAAACTTTGACTCTGTCCTTCGTGTCTCCTAACTTTTATTCTGTGCTTTCCATCTCTGTGTCCTTTCATGCTGCATTCTAGAAGTCCTCAGCTCAATCTCTCACTCATTTCTTTGCTCTTCAGCTGTGTCCATTCTGTTATTCAGTCCATTTATGAAGTTTTCAATGACCAGATTTTTTTTTTTTTGAGATGGAGTCTCACTCTGTTACCCAGGCTGGAGTGCAATGGTGTGATCTCAGCTCACTGCAACCTCTGCTTCCTGGATTCAAGCGATTCTTCTGCCTCAGCCTCTTGGGTAGCTGGGATTACAAGTGCAGGCCACCACGGCCTGGCTAATTTTTGTATTTTTAGTAGAGACGGGGTTTCACCATGTTGGCCTGGCTGGTCTCGAACTCCTGACCTTGTGATCCACCTGCCTCAGCCTCTCAAAATGCTGGGATTACAGGCGTGAGCCACCACACCCAGCGTCCATGACCAGATTTTAACTTTCTAGATTCTCTATTTGATCTTTCTGGGGAATCCAATATCGTATCACATCTCTCCAGGGATACTGACTACACCTTTCTAAATCCTCATTCTGGTGCATTAACTCCCTTTCCTTGGGTGTCAATTCTCTCATTGAGGGGTTTGCTGCCTGTCATTTGAGGGCTCATCTCTGTGTCTGAAGCTCACAGTTAGCCAGCCTGCAAGCATCACAGCTCTCTCCCACAGCTTACCCCACTTGAGGGGTAGGAGAATGCACCCCAGCCACTACCTAATGTTCTGTGCATGGGGCCTCCATTCTCCCTGGACTCAGCAGCCTTCCAGGACAGTGCCTGCCCCTTCAAGCCCTGCACTCACATTACTTCTGATGACTACTCCGCGAAACACAGATGCCTGTGTTCTCTGCTTGGCCCAGGTGTGTGTGTGCGTGTGTGTGTGTGTGTGTGTGTGGTCACGAAGAGGGTTTAATTACTTGTGGCTCCTACTGAGCACCTTAAACAATCATCCCATCAGGGCCCAGGGGCCTATAACACCCCCGACCTTTTGCAGCAGCCACCCTCTCCCACCCTGGGCCCCAGCCTTCTACCTTTAAGGCCTTCAGCATAGTGTATGGTCAACCGAGGGCACCATTTTTTTCCAATGTAGTTGTGAATTTTAAAAACATTTCTGTCCCCTTAGAGGATTTGGGACAATGGTGGGGGGGAGTGTGAGTCGGCCTGCCACTCCATCCCCTTCTATTTGTGGCATGCCTCTGAGTTTCTTAATCTCTGTAGCCTGAGGTGCTGGGCATCAGCTCTGGAGTCGAGCTGAGCCTGGGCAGCACCTTCTTAGCACGACTCTTCACAGAATTCAGCATCTATGTGGGTCGGGGGCTGTAGCTCAAACCTGTAATCCCAGTACTTTGAGAGGCCGAGATGGGCGAATTATCTGAGGTCAGGATTTCAAGACCAGCCTGGCCAACATGGTGAAACACTGTCTCTGCTAAAAATACAAAAATTAGCTGGGCATGGTGGCTCACGCCTGTAGTCCCAGCTACTCAGGAGGCTGAGGCAGGGGAATTGCTTGAACTTGAGGGGCGGAGCTTTCAGTGAGCCAAGATTGTGCCACTGAACTCCAGCCTAGGTAACAAAGCGAAACTCCGTCTCAAAAAAAAAAAAAAAAAGTATATTTGGACCTTACTTCATCCTCACTGGGAGTATTCATGAGGCGTCCGGCATCTGCTCAGTACCTGTAGGATCCCCCCTTTCCCCCTGTCTGCCGCTCTAGGGACTCAACTCCTCCCCTAGCATCTCTCTGTTTGCAGTCAGTGGTTTAGGCAGCAAGTGCTGCACAGACAAAAGAGAGAGACCACAGTGTTGGGGAGGCAGGGGCTGGAGCCATCTGGGACCTTTTGGAGGAAGGAAGAGGTGGGCAGGGCCTTCAAGGAAGAACAGGCTTCAAATAAGTGGGGAGGGAAGGAAAAGATTCAGTGTGGAGGTGGGGGAAGCAGGAAGGACAGAGCAAGGCAAGGTGTGGGACTGTTGGGGGAAAACCATCGTCTGCTTTGTTTAGGCAGAAGTCAGGGATTCAAACGTCATAGGGGGCCAGGAGGTGACAAACCTGTGACCAGGGCTGGGTCCAAGAGGGCTGGGGACTGAAGCCTGGGGCAGGATGTTTAGTTACTGCCCCAGCAGCCCAGCCGTCTGTGCCCAGCTCCTGAGGGCTTGCAGTAGAGAATATAAAGGTACCATGAAAAAATAGTGGGCCACCAAAGCGCTTCTGAGGGCTGCCAGTTGGCAACCTCTGATGTGTGTGGGCGCCCAGTGTTGGCACCATGGGAGAGGCCCACAGCAGACGGAAGCTCCCACGAGAACAGGAACGCGTGGATGTCTTTCAGCACCTGCCTTTCTCCTAGCCAGGCCCTTGCAAGACCCCAGCCACCCCTCAGTCTGTCTCTGGAGCTGGGAATGCCCACAGCACTTTGCTCTTTCAGATGAAGTCACAGCTCAGGCAATTCATCTTACTCCTCCGTCAACCAAGTGACTGAGGTCCCCAGGGCCTGCCCACAGGAGCTTCAACGTGCCTGGGGTCAGAAAGAGATGCTGGTCATTAGGAACACCCCTGTGGGACCAGAACATGGGGCAGGTGTGGTGGGGTGGTGACTGCAGGCTCCAAGGGAGGCCCCTCCAGGGAAGCAGTGAGGACCTGAGCATCTAGAGCTGGTCCTCTGGTGCCATCCAGTGGCCGTTTGTGTAAACTGCAGCCCCACACCACTGCCTGATCACTCTCCAGAGCCGAAACCGCCAGGCGTCAGCAAAAAACCAGGTGAGAATACAGGATTTCTGCCCACAGCCTCTTTGCAGCACAGGCTGTATCTCCTCAGCCCAGCTTCTCTCTACATTTTAAGGAGACTGATTATTGCTGGGTTCCTTTAGCCCCCAACCTGTGGGTACAAACCAGCTTTGCCAAATCTGATCAAGGACTTTTTTTTGGCAATTTTACCCAAATTGCCAACAAGGCAGAGACGATTCCTGGACAGACGATTTGTTTACTATTTGTATGTATTCTGTCCTTAAGCGTCATCTTGTGGCAGCCCTGGCATAATGTGGCTTAGGGTCTGTGAAGCCCAGAGGAAAAGACGACTCTGTTTTGGACTGTGCTCGCGGAGAGCCAGCCTCTCCCTCTCCAAAGCCACAGGGACCCTCAGCCTAGCCCCCAGGCCTGGGCAGCTCTGGATAAAGGCAACACCGCAAAAGCTGTTGCCGACACAGCCCACACGGACTCCCCGCTGCAGGGAACTGAGAGCCAGGGCTAGTGAAGAAAGCGCCGGTAAAGACAGGTGAGCAGCAGGTGCGAAGGTGCAGGTGAGAGGCCTGCAAGGAGCCCCAGGGGCCCAGAGTGGGGAGATGGGAGGGCCAGGTCCTGAAGGGTCTTCCCTCAGTGCTAAGCTAAGGAGACCCCACTTCATCCCCAACATAACAGGGAGCTGTGAGTGGGCGGGAGGTGCAGCCCAAGGCCGGCTGCACCCTGCAGAGCCCTGACTTGGAAGCAGAGCAGCTTTCCTCTTCCGGCCTCCTTAAGGTCTTGCTGGTGGTGGGTGCTTGCAGTTTATGGCTGGAGACAAGGTTTCTGCTGGCCAAGGATGAGCCCCTTGACCGGGCAGGCTGCTCATGGGTCCTCACTGGAGCCCTGGGCCTATCAGGCACTTGTCCACAGCAGCCCGGAGGGGAAGGGGAAGAAGAGCTGGCCCAGGAGGGCAAGAAGAACACATAGAGAATGGGGCCCTTCCCGCTTCTTTCCCCGCAGCGGCCTGTGCCCATGCACCCCCATCATAAGCACCGGTGTCATCTTTTGAAGGGGACTGTGCTGCCACCTGGTGGCCACACCAGGACAATGCCCCTGGAAGGACTCTAAGTTCCCGTGGAAGGCCCCTTTTCCCCGTTTGGGACTCCCACCACTGAGCCCACTGCCTTGCTTTACAGAGGAAGTCAGTTTCCCCAATCAAGCAGCAACATTCTGGAATAAATGCCCCTATTTCCTTCAGCCCTTTCTTTCTTTCTTTTTTTTTTTTTAGACAGTCTTGCTCTGTAACCCAGGCTGGAGAACAGTGGTGCAGTCTTGGCTCACTGCTGCCTCTGCCTCCTGGGTTCAAGCGATTCTCCTCCCTCAGCCTCCTGAGTAGCTGGGATTACAGGTGCACACCACCATGCCTGGCTAATTTTTGTATTTTTAGTAGAGACTAAAATCTTGGGAGACAAAACTTGGGAGCAGCGAGGGGCCTGCCAGTGAGGTCCTGCCTGGCTCCACGGGTGCTCTGAGCCCCTCAGGTCCGGCCGCAGCTCACATCTCACCCCAGACTGCATGGCCTCTGCAACCGTCAGTCCCAGCTCACTTCACCAAGCAGGCAGTTGCCCACCAGCGTTCTTGGCCGTGATTCCTCCATGAGCCCTTAGGATCCCTGAGTTTTTCCTTTCCGGGCCGAGGGAGAGCAGGGGGCCTTGGGGCCCTACCTGAGGCCCACCTGCTCAGCCTCTCCCATGCCACGCAGAAGCAGCCCCTCATCAGCCAGGGTTTCTGTGGGGTTCCTGTTCGCTTGCTCATACCCCCCAACACAAACACCTACTATTGAACCAAGACAAATGGGGGTCACTTCCCAGGGCCCTGACTCATCTTCCAGCAGCGTGGCCCTTCCAAGGCTCTCCTCCCATCCAGGACCAGAGGCAGATTTCAGTCTAGTGGCACCTTACCCTAGGTCATCTTCCTCCCTACCCCCTGAACTTCCTGTCCTGGATAGCACCTGCCCTAGCTTCCCAAGGGGTGGCGGGGTCATCACCTGGCCTGATTGGCATGCCTGACAGGGAAGAAAACTGGGGCAATGGGAGTTGTCTACAAAGTGCTGTCTCCATTGCATATGTAAGTGCCAGGCCAGTCATATGGCAGAACATTAATTCGCTCCCATCCCCTCTTCACCCTCCCCAAGGCCACCTCAGTGGCTGGGCCTGCCCCTCTGGCCTCTAACAATTGGCCTGCTCTGGCCTGACCCTTTCTGCCTGTCCTGTGGTTTTGCTGCAAGCTGAGCACCTAGAACCCCCTTCAGATGGAGGCCCAGCTCCCAACCTGGGCCCTGCTTTACCCAGGAACACCTGGGCCCCAAGAGAATGCTAGGCCAGAGGACAGTGCCAGGAGGCTACAAGCGCAGCCCAGCACAGCCACCACCTAGGACAGCCCCAGCAGGCCTGGCCGTGCAGAGATGGCACCATCCCCAACCATGGCGCCATCCCCAACCATGAACTGCTCCAGAGGGTGGCTCCATGGCCGTGAAATGTGCTGATCATGGGCGGGACAGAGTAAGCTCTAAAGAAACAGCTATTGTCGTAGTGATGCTGGATCGGGCCCCAACGAATGGGAAACTCTGACCCAGAAAACTGAAGAAACCCCATGGTCTTTCTGCCCTAAAGCCGAGGCCAGCCGAGAAGACTCCATCTGCATCCCGGCTGCCATCTTTTGAACCGTGTCTATACGCTGGGCACTCTGAGAGATGCCCTTAAAATGTCCATTTTGCATTTAAAAAACACCCCCACTGAGGCTCAGGCGCAGACGCAGAGCACGGAGGTCTACGTGGGAAGGGAGTTGGGGGGGGCGGTCATCCTTCCTCCACCCTGGGCTGCTGCTCCGACTGCCAAGCTTCCCTGCCCGGCTGGGCTGCCCCAGGCCTCCCTCCCTCACTCAGCATTGGAGGCCCCCATGAATTAAGACACTTTTTTTTTTGAGACAGAGTCTTGCTCTGTCACCCAGGCTGGAGTGCAACAAGCACCATCACAGCTCGCTGCAACCTCCGCTTCCCGGGTTCAAGCAATTCTCTGCCTCAGCCTCCCAAATAAGTAGCTGGGATTACGGGCATCTGCCACCACACCTGGCTAATTTTTTGTATTTTTAGTAGAGATGGGGTCTCACCAAGTTGGCCAGGCTGATCTCAAACTCCTGACCTTGTGACCCACCCACCTCAGCCTACCAAAGTGCTGAGATTACAGGTGTGAGCCACCGTGCCTGGCCATGAGGACACATTTTACAGCCACGTGACCCCCCTGTGACTCCCCCAGCAGCCCATGTAAGAAGAGCATGTGATGGAACCCGAGGGCTGGAAAGTGCTGCTGGTGCCCCCCTCGGTGCAGGGGATGCAGGGCAGGCCCTGCCTCAATACCACACAGCAGTCTCTGTTGCCTGAAGCCAGCAGGCCACACTTCCAGCCCATGTGTGCATTTGGGGGGTTTAGACCCAAACACTGGAAGTAAACTTCATCTGGTGAGACTGCTCCCATGCCTGTCCTCCAGGGCAATGGCCAAGGCTCGGCCAGAGCCCCTGCAACATGGATCATCCCCGGCCTGGGCCCGGCTCTGTTATACACCTGCATGTCCCGGTGCGAAGGCTGTTCTGCTTACAGTGACTTCAGAGTAGGCCACCTGCCCCGAGCCTGGCTGTGAGGCGTCACCGCACCCATCATAGGCTCTGCTGCTGGGTTTACCACCACCACCCCTCACGATTTCTGAGCCCTTCCTGCACCATCATCTGCCACCACTGTGGGCTGGAGCTTGGCTGCTCGCTCAGAGCATGGGTTGGTTGTACCAGCTGATCCACCCTCCTGGGAGGGTCCACAGGCCAGGAAGCAGAGGTAGATAGGGCAGTAAGAGAACAGGAAGGACGAGAAAGCAGAGAAAGCACTGGTCAGCCTGTGTGACCCCTGGGGGTAAGCATGCCCTGGGCCTCCCAGGCCCACAAGCTTTGTGCATGGGTGGGTTTGAGCTGGGTTTCTGACATAGGCAAGTGGAATTCTGGAACCTGGAAGGGGGCCAGGGAGAGGTGGGGGTGGCAGGACATCAAGGACCTCACCCAAGTTAGGTAGGGGCTGCAGTGGGGAAGCGGCGCGGAACTTGGGTGGGGGCAAGGCCAGGCAGCAGTGGCCCCTCCCCAAGGACAGGAGGATGCTCTGTACGGACAGGGATGAAGGGCCAAGGGGGAGGAGCATGGGGACAAGGACAAGGCACTGCTGCTGGAGGCCCCAATGCTGAAGAGCAAGTCGGGGAGTCAGATGCCTGCACCCTGTGGCAGGAGGAGAAGCAGGGGCACGTTCCCCACACAGCTGAGCGTGCAGCTGGGTCTCCTACCTGCTCCACACACCTGCTCTCCCAGCGCCCTCTCCACCTGGGGGATGTTGCCCCTTCCAGGGGCTTTGGTCCTAACGCTCTGAATCTTTCCAACATTTTCAAATGAATCACAACTTCCACTGAGAGCTGAGCCACTGAGAGGCCAGCCCTGTGGGTAAGGGAGGGACAGAGCTGACGTGCCATGGGGCAGAACCAGGCCTAGCTCTCCTATCCGGGGTGAATTTTCTTTCCTGGGCTTCACAAACTGGTTCTGATGCAAAACACATGCTTCCCAAGCTTCCAAGAAAGTTACCTTCATTTCAATCAGGAAATTTTTATTTTTTGAGATGGAGTCTTGCTCTGTCACTCAGGCTGGAGTGCAGTGCCCTGATCTTGGCTCACTGCAACCTCTGCCTCCCAGGTTCAAGCGAGTCTCCTGCCTCAGCCACTTGAGTAGCTTGGATTACAGGCGCCTGCCACCATACCCTGCTAATTTTTGTGTTTTTAGTAGAGATAGTGTTTCACTGTATTGGCCAGGCTAGTCTCAAACTCCTGGCCATAACTGATCCATCTGCCTTGGCCTCCCAAAGTGCTGGGATTACAGGCGTGGGCCACCACACCCGGCCTCAATCAGGAGAATGTTGACATGATAATGAATTTGGGGTCCTGGCCTAGGTCATCAGCTGCTGTGGGTGTCCTGCCCTTCCCAGTGCAATGAGGACTCAGCGGCTGGCTGAGCATCTGAGTGCAGACAGCAACTCACTCGCCCACGCCTGCTTCATATTTTCACCTTGGCAAGCTCCCCCCAGGCCTGGGCCTCTGCAGGGGCCTCAGCCAGGGGCTTGCCCCGCTTTTCCACCTGGGGGACCGTGCCCGGACCTGAAGCCCTCGGGGTCTCCTCCTGCCGCCCTGCAGTGCCTCGGCAGTCCCTCAGCTGCCCCTCAAAGCACCTGTCACCGTCACAGCAAGTTGCTTTGAGGCATCCATCAGGTGGGGCCATACTCCGAAGGATTTTTGCCCCTGCAATGATTTTTCTTCTTTAAATAAATTATGTGGCTGAAGCAGCTGCCCACCTCGGGTGAGTGATGATAGCTGAGAGCAAATGTGGTAATTTGGAAAATGGAGTTCCTCAACTGGCTTTTAAAACTGATGGTAATTATCAGTCTAAAAGAAAAGGTTTCGGAAGAGTCCGTCTCCTGAAAGAATCAGAGCGTATTATTCTTGCGAACACTTGGTTAGGAGCGGACAGAGACTGCCCAGCCCTGCCCTGAACTCAAGGAAGATCCCCTGGCAGAGGGCACACAGCAAGAGGCAGGAGGGAGTGACCCCGCCAGGCCCTGCTCCCCTCTGTGGACAGAAGATCTCAGTGCCCCTCCGAAGCTCCCTAGGGGTCCGTGAACACCGCTCTCAGCAACGTGACTCACACCCCTGCAGCAAGTCAGCCCCCAGGCAGGGGTTCTGCCTGGGCGGGAGGAGGGAGGGAGAAACCCGAACACGGCTGAGAAAACCTACAGAGGATTGAGTTTCTGTCCCCAGCAGAAGGGCCCCAGGATAGGTACAAGCCAAGCTGCTTTCTGCACCCCAAGTTATAGTCACAAAGTTTTCAGGGTGTGGCTGGCCCGGGAGAGTCCCTGTGACTCGAGTCTTTTGAACCTCTTGGTGGGGTAGTCCCTCCCAGGACAGAGGGCGTGGAGCAGGTGGACAGGCCCCCCGGGGACAAGAAAGGAGATAAACGTCACACATTCACCTGGCCCTTCAAGAGGAGGGACTTTCAGAGCCTCCCGGGTGAGGCCTCAGACAGCAGGAAGAGTCAGGGGGCTCAGGAGTAGCTGGGGAGCCAGCACCCCAGGTCACCTTTCCTTCCAGAGCCATGTGGCAAGATGGCCAGGACTCCTCCAG